ACACAGTCATTTTTCATTTTATAATAAGCGGTAGGAAGGTCACGTCTCTGACTACTATCATTTCTGTATGGTACAGTAAAGTGTGTATATACTATTTTGTTTACCGAACACGCAAACTATATAAAACGATAGTATATAATACTGTTGATGACAATCTTGGTAAATATAGCTATCGCCCTTGGTTGTGCAAATAGAATTGTTTTTATTCAAGTAGTATGAGAGTTTAGAGATGATTCGAACAGTATACGAAATCCCTGTATTACTACTTGCTGTTATGAAATAATAGGTCACTCAAAGATGGCATAACAAGTACTTGCGTTGACTAAAAGTCGCGAGCAGCAGTTGCATCTTTAGACTAGACGCATCAACAGTTAGACATTTTCTGAATGGATAAGAGAACTGTCTTAAAAATAACATCTTATCATTAATAATGATATTTCTCTCCGGAATATCTTGCCAATAAGTTTTCGTTAATGGAATGATTCATATGTCCTCTACTTTCTCCTAGTTTAACGTTCACAAGATGCAAATCAACACAGTCCTCCATTGTTACTAACGTACGCACCAAATAATATTCAAAAACATATCACCTACCGGGTAGTGTTTTGTTGTATGTCCCTCAATTTCAAATGTATGTCTACTTTGAAGTTGTTGCTTATGATCAACCTTCACATGTTGCTGAAAAAAACACGTTACACATAAGTCTATTGAAATAATTCCATTATGTCTTCAAGAAAGTAAACGTCAGCATTGCTTTCATGAACGATATATATTCAAATATGATTACGAGTAATTAAAGAAGTCAAACGAAGGAATAAATTTGAATTTATAGCTTAATCACTACGTTTTTTCTCCTTGCTGATTTCAGTGGGACTATCTGCTGTGATATTAAACTCGGATAAGTTTTGATGTTTTAAAAAACAAACAGAAAAATCATTGGGTGTGACTTTTTTCTCTTCACCTTTTCAAAAAGCATGAGAAATAAAAATTGAAATCATTCAGCAGGTCATTGCCACTGTTTTTATATAAGTACAGTCTACATTGAATGAAAATCGTCAAGAACAAATCCTGTTTTTTTATTATTTCTGTTATAAAAGACTTTTTTTTTGTAAGAGAATTTTACAAGGGGGAAAAAGCGGCTCCTGGCTCCTTGGATTCTCGCGGCTCCTCATGGGTCCTGGTGGATTCTATGGATCCTAGTAGATTCTGGCGGATTCTGTGGATCCTAGTGGATTCTGGCGGATTCTGTGGATCCTAGTGGATTCTACTGGATTCTACTGGATTCTACTGGATTCTACTGGATTCTACTGGATTCTACTGGATTCTACTGGATCCTGCTGGATTCCAGTGGATTCCTATGGTCTTAGTGGATATTTAAAGATATGTGAAGATCAGTATCTACTCCTTATCGCTGTCGCTTGCTTTTTTTTAATCGAAAATGATGGCTTATCCAGTTAGACAAAGCTGCTTTTTAAGGTTTTCTATTGTAGCTTCTTAGCATGATATTCGTCTTCGCAACATAAAGTTTCGTAATCATTAACATCCTGTAAAAGGTTATCCAACAACTCTTTTAGCTGTCAAGGGAAAGGTTAAAAATATAACTTGTAAATCACATGAAAACATGAAATTTGAATCTTTTTTCATAAGAATACGGGATAGAGTGATGAATTTATTAGCTATGTAGTAAGTAGCAATAATCCATGTATTTTTTCACTTTTCGCAATAGCTAGCACTCCCTACTATATTTGAAACAAAACTTGTTCATAGCTGTCAGTTCATATATTTGAACCGATCGTTGTAAACCCAGTCATATTTATGTACTTGTTAGAACTTTGCAATTTAACATGAAGAATTAATCAATACACAGACAAAGTCATCGGTAGAAACAAAATAATATTATTTTTCCAACAATATTGTCTATATTACAAAAAGGCTAAATATCTTTTTCAGGACTATTGTAACACATTCTCAGTCATAGAATAATATGAACAATGAATCCTTCAGCTCTTCTCTTTCTGTGTACAATAAAATCTGTAAGTTTTTTTCTAAGCATTTAGATTCAAGAAACGATAGATAGACCATTTAGATCTGTAAACAAAATGCATGGTCACTTTCGTAATTTTTTCAAAACTCGATCAAAGTCATATAGATCCGACATATATGAGTCTCGTTGTTTTCTTTAGCAACTGAAAATTGTTTAAAATATTGATCTAAATTCACTAATCAAAATGGATCCTGGTGGATTCTAGAGTCCATCAGGAGCCACCAGGAGCCGCTTTTTCCCCCTTGGAATTTTATCTATGTTCACTTAAATAAAACGTCTCAAAAACAAGAAAATAAATAAGAAGCTAATATCACCCGGGAGGATCATCCTGCCGTCTGAAAGGCCATCGGAAACGGCCTGAAACGGCTATAAAACGACATAAAGCGGCATTAATTTTCACCTTATTTCGCCGTGATCCGTCAGCTCGTTTTACGAGCCGTTTTTTTGCTAAAAAACGGCCATCGCTTTTAACGCTATTCTCTTCGTTTTCCGAGCTGATGGAAAACGACGCCGTTTTTTAACGTTTTTATGCCGTTTCAGGCCGTTTACGGGCCGTTTTCTTTCACCTGGGCAGAGTTAAATTAAATCTATTGACTTGTAATCATTTTCGACCTAGAATATCACTGAGAATACAGAAAAAAGTTCCATCTAAAACGTCCATTAGAACATTTACAATTTGAACGAATTTCGTCCTTCTAATTAATAAAATCGATAGAATTTGATTATGTTATTTTTTTAAGAATTTACTTAGTTTTCCATTAAACCTGATTATTTCCTCTTACGTAAGATGCATTTGTTTAGCTTATTGTTAGGTGTTGCTTAAACTGCTGCTCGTGGCAATCATCGTATAACCTTGTCATTAGAATAGGTGCTCAACGATGTCGGGCACTTTTCTTGCCAAGTATAGTTACAAACAAAACTAAATATACTATTAAATATAAAGAGTAAATAAACGTGGTTTTGTATGCAATAATATACTATTAGAACGATTAAGTGTTAAAATAATAACTCTGTCAATTATACATCATGCACCACATTCAATGATACACAAGCATGGTGTTCACTAACATTTGATTATACTGGACAACGACATCCCTGTACAGTTTCAGGTATTAGCATCATGAATAAATTGAAATGTGGAAAATTTTTGAAAGTTTTTTGCTAATATAATATTTAGCTTCGATACCAACACCATCATGTAACTCAAGTTCTTCTATTGATTCAAGTTCATATGATTTTCTTTTTGCACCATGTATGTATCACCAATAAATCGAGACTCTCTATATAGCCATTTAATATTAAATGATCAACCAAATAATTTATCATTTTCGTCAGCACCTGGTTCGAACTTTTTTAATAGGTTAATTTAAAAGTTGAATCTTTTTTTTTATTATAGAAAACATTTGTTTTAAATTTAGAACAACAAGAATGGAATCATTCGTTATCAATGGTGATACTGTTATTGATTTAAAAGTATCTCAATTAATTGTACTTAATCTCAATCTACCACCACAAACATCATCATCATTTTTCTCGTCGAATTTAACTGCGAATCTAGCTGCTATACTCCGTGTTAGTTCTGATAAAATTCGTCGTGCTAATATCATTTCAGTTAATAATAATAGGTAAATTACTTTCTTAGAAGTCAGAAAATGAAATTTGATGTTAGTAGTGACTGAGTGTCAAAAACTGCCAATCTCGGATCTTGGACGGATGAGAATTTTTACATTAATACCTTTAATTGAAGTGGTTGAAGATCATTGTTTGATTTTTCAATTCATTTCGTTTGACTCTTGATGAATAAAAGTTTGTGCTTCGACTCTTATACATGTGAATTTTGTAAATATTATTGAATACCTTCATCAAAATATATCTTCGGCTGGCTTTCGATTTAAAACCATAAAAAAAATGTAGAGAGCTGCTTTCCAATAAAGATTTCACTGTATAAATATATCTCATTTATTTGAAAATTTCTTCTTATAGTCGTATTCGTCGTCAACTGTCAACAGTAACATTAAGTGTTGAAATACGTAATGATCCAGTAGCAAATATTTCAACGAATGTTTCAACCCAAACGAATCCAATTTCAAATATTTGTTCAGCTATTATTAATCGTTATCAATCAGGCGAATTACTACAAGCATGGTCAAATAAACCCGCTGCTGGTAATAGAGCACCAATAGATTTAAACGTTCAAGAACCTCGCAACGCATCATCAACACTATTGAGTATAATTTATCGAATAGAACTTGTTACATCTCCATCATCATGCCGTGAACAAAGTCCATGTAGTATACAACCAACATTAGTTGCACATGATATAGACGGAGACGTTATAAAAATATTAGCATCCAATGATCAACCGTGACAAGTTGTTGCTAGTGTCGTTGGCAATTCTAATATCACATTAATTGGTGCAATTGCAAATTATTCCAATGGCTAAACACAATACATATCATTTGGTGTATCAAGTATTGAGAGTTATCACGTACACTTTGCCTTTATTCAACCAAATAATGTTGCGAAGTAAACAAAAAGAAAATTCATTTATCTTCGATTTATTCTACGCATATTTTTGTTTCTAGTTCATTCGTATCTAATATGAATTTAACGGCAAATTCATCGTCATTAACAATTACAAAAGCTATATTAGCTGTGGAGCAAATCGATCCTATGTCTGTTGTTTCAATCAATGAAACATTTAATATATCAATTGCTATCGTTGATAGTCACTCGCGTTTATCAACTGGAAATACTCTATGAGGTAATATGACATGATCAGCAAATGTATCACTTCATAATTTACCAGAATATCATGCGAATGGAACATTAATAACAACAAATAGTTCATCGATTATAATTGGCATAGCACGAAGTTCGATGGTTGCAGCAAATCTAATGATTGATACAATTGGAATGTATTTAATTAAAGTTCAATTAGCATCATCGAATAATGACTATGTATTTTCACTTGTAGCCAATGCAGTGTTAGTTAAAAAAAAGTTCAAGTATGATTATCTTCGTAAAGTAATTTCATAGGTTAACCTTTTTTCTATTTTTCAGCTACTATCGATCAAGAAAACGATTTTCCAACATCGAATATAACATTTTCTGGAGATTATGATGCATTGATATTAGCTGATTTATTAGATATTAAAAGAACAATTATCGATAATTTTCTAATGCATGTTGGGATGCCAATTACCAGTGCTATTAATGTAACAAAAGGTTCGAGAATGCAACAATATAAAGTTTTCCTATTATGTTCTCTATGACTATTTATTTTATTAGGTAATATTGTTGCATCGTCTGCCGTTGGTACCGACACTACAGGTTTAGCTGCAGCTGTTCAGAGTATTACTGCGGATCCGAAAGCTATTTCCGATTTAACAGCTCTTTCAATAAATATCAATGGTAATACATATAAAATATATGATTCTTCATCGGATACGAGCAATCAAAGTTCATCACCAAAGACTATAATGATTATCACTATTGTTGTGTGCGTTGTTGGTAGTGTCGTAATTCTATTTGGTGCGCACTTTGGCATTAAAAAATACGAAATACAGCATAAACGTCGGCGTCTGATACATAACCTTACAGAGCAATCTGCAAATGGCAATGGTGGAATTCAATATGATGAAAATATTGCAACAAAAATACAAACAGAAGAAAGAAACAATGATTTCCAATTGAAAGAAAAAACATCGAGTTCAATGGGAAATTCACCAAAGAATACTAATCAAGTTCAACCATTGGTTAATAAAATTGAAAAAATAGATCGACCTCAATCGAGCAGTGTTAGCGTTTCTATGCTTACATTATTACAAGATGATCACGCCAATCCTAAATAACCGCCTGTGGTATATCTAACATAAAGAAAATGTTTTTGATTTAACATCGATCGCGTGATGTAATAGCAGTAGTATCTGATGACATTCCCCTGATTAAATGCTCATGTATCTGAAACCTCTATGTTGTTGTTTTTAGCTGATCACTTAGATTTTTCCTGTCGTAGTTTTTCATGTTTTTTCTAGATTCTTGTGAACCCTATGTCAAAAAGCCTAAAAGTGTGAGAAATCAGCAGGAGGAATCTAGAGATTGAAGGTTTCTAGTATCGGACAGAATCGGTAATGATATGATAAAGTCGTTCATCAGATCACTGCTCCCAAGTTCTGACAATAGTTTAGTAGGTTCTCATTGAAATTATTAAGTTGAGTAGAAACTGACCCTTTTCTTTTCGTAGTTTAACCTGTTTGCGTTATTCTTGCTCTCAACTATTTGATGAAATTCTCTGTGTTGTTTTGTCTGTGTTATATATCAAATGCCTAGATATTCTTTATATTTTCGCTTCTTGCTGCTGGAAGAAAACCTTGCATATGTGAATTTGAGGTAGCTAACAAAAATTTCGAAAATACTACCAAAAACTAATCGGTACCCATTTTAATTGCTTAATGATCACGTCATTGTTAAAATTGAATTCCATTTTGTATTTTCTCGGTCGTTCTGCTCAAGATTCTTATATAATCGAATTGACAGAAAAGAATTATTCCAAAGAAATAATGTCGAAAGAAATTCATCAGACCGAACTGATGTCCATCTCGACGTGAGAAAAGTAAATATGTCAGAGCTCATCGCAAACTACATAAATTTATCCGCATTCACTAATACCTTTTATGACATAACACGGCAAGTTACTAGGCATATTGCAAATATTTTCGATAATTTTATGAGTTATGTTCGAAAATATTCAATATGAAATAGTTTCGCAACCGTTACTATCCTGAAAGCTCGGAAAATACTTATCAAATCTATCTAATCTAATCGAACTTGTATTTTAGATTTTATTTTATTCAGGACTATGTTGTACATTGTTTTCATAAGATTACCGGTGGTTATCTATTTTAGATTGAATTACAAATTCTAAGAACATCACCAGAAGATCTATGCTGCAATATTTAAAGCGAAGTTGTAGATTGCTAGTCTTTTCTTAGAAATCAAACTCACAGAAGACTGAAGTGATTTTCCATTGATATTCTGTTTCGGTTCACTTATAATCAAATTGAAATATTCGAGTAATGAACAACAGTGAGTAGGAGATAATCATATCGTCAAAAGTGATAAAGTACTCGATGAACAACTCGTCGTCCATTTAGAGCTGAACATACAGATTGACAAGTTCAGCAATGATAGATGATAATCCTCTCTTCTTCTTGTATATTTTCGGTTTATTTAAGCTTCGATTTATGGTAGAGCCTAACACGACTTAGTCTTGATTACATCTTATTTATCAAGAAAAGCAATTCAAATATGAAATCAACATCAAGTAGCTGCAACAAACATAAAACTAATAGTCATAAGCGATAGGTTATGAATATTCAAAGTAGTTTGTTATACAATAACAGCAACAACAAAAAAATGCATAGACTCTAAGTTGATCATAAAATTCGAAAGATGAGCATTATTACGTCTTTTCTATTGACAGCAGAGTAAATCAAAGTATTCTTCTTATTTGTTTACCTTCTTTGACTCATCGCCTAGTATCTCTTGATATTTAAATGATCAAAAAACATTGTGTCTTTCTTTCCCTCAAAATTTTGTATCTATAAATTCTCTGACCTTATATTGTCATAAAGCACTCTCACACAAGATCAAAAGATAATCTTTTCTTCTTTATACAAGTGACCGTTTTGTCATTTTGTTTGTGTATTTCATGGCAATAAATGCCAGCAACACGCCTCTTCACTTGTTATTTGTCACATCATCTCATATCATGCTTTGCTTTTCCTCTTCTTTTTTCTTCAAGCACGTACAATGAGAAAGAACAAGTGCGGTTCACATAGTCTCGTCAAAATTGTTTGATTCAGAAGCGGTAAATCGCACAAATATACATATATAGTTTTTTTTTTATTTGATCACAGTGACGATGATGATGATGCATCTCAAAACAAATATAAACATAATAAAAGAAAATAATCGATCTACACCTGTCTTTGACCTTTCTCCGTTTTTAGTTCATTGATTGTTAATCTTCACTCAATTGTCATTCGTCATTAATCTCTAATCTTTTGTTTTTCACATCTTACAACGAAAATAGATCCCAAGCTTTTCGTCAATAGAAATTACATATCGATAATAGTAAATACTTTTCACATGTAGATTTATTGTTATTATTATTTTGTTCGTTAAATAAACACACGCATATAATAAGAAAAAAAAAACGCTAGTGAACAGAGAAGCAAAAGAAAATGAGTCGGTTATTGTTTAATTTTATTAGTATTGTCCAACATCATTTGCTGCTGTGTGTGTTGTTGAAGAATTAAATAAATTCTCATGATCTTTTGGTGATGATGATGATGTGGAATGATTATTTACATTCGGTAAAATAGTTACTGGCTGTTGTAAATGTAGGAATGATGGACTTAAAGGTGATGACGATGTACCATTATTCATTGGGCATGTCAATGGTGCCATAAATGGATGATGTGAGGCTGGTGATGGTGTTGTTCCGTATGGAAAATAGTATGAAGCTGGTGTTGGATAATATGTGTTTGAATAATACGCAGCCGCTGCAGCTGTATTCGGTGATATTGGTGATGACGATGAGCATGGAATACTAGCTGGCGTTGTTGGAGTATAGAAAAGGGATGGATCAAATGGTGATGTTGATGATGTTGGATATGGATCGAGTTTTGTTTGAAAACCTATTAGGAAAAAAGCAAAGAAAAACATGAAATTTGAATTCTCTTCCACTTTTTCTTCAAGGAAAACGAAAGTGTCATCATTCCGGAATAGCACATTAGTGGTATAGTGTCAGATTCTTTTGATGACAATTGTTTAATGTTTCATAGGTATTAGAGTAAATATAAAAAGTCAACGGAAATGATTATAAAACAAAAAATCATTTACCATCATTAGGCGAAGATTTTCGTTGTGTTTGAGTATAATTATATGGTGATGAACGATATGATTGAAATTTAAATCTTTCAGGTCCAGTTGTATGCATAGGCGATGATTGATGAGTAAAAAACATTGGATGATGTGAAAATGGTGATACATAATTATTCGCATTTTGTGATTGTTCTTCTAACATAAGCATATCTCGATCTTCTCTAGAAAATGTAAAGATAAAAATGTTCACATAAAATCAACACCTTAACTTGTTTGTATTCTTACCGTCTATTATTTCCAGTATCAAGAAATGCCTTAGCAAATGGATTGTATTTAATTTTCAATGCTGTTACCTAAAACATTAAAATTCCTGATAAACATCAAATAGAATTGAAAAGCAACTATCGCGATTTACGTCTTCATTTTGATACGCTGTTACAGCAATAAATTCAGTTTCTTCAAAACTTGTTTCATAGATTTTCTTTTTTAACATTACATCAATAATGGAAAGTTTTGGTTTATATTTATGTAGAGAATTGAGTACAACCTTCAAATAGAGAATTTAGACTTGTTCTTTTTTTAAAGTTTTTCCTTTGAAGTTCTTACTTGACATGGACCTGTTTGGTTCGTTTTGTTTGTTAATTTAACTTTTGAAAATACAACAGTATCTCTCATCCATGTTTCACCATAGTTAGGTGAGTCTGGATGTTGATAGGGTGTTCGTGGTAAAAGTGGATCTGGTTTAGTACCAGGTTGCCATTGACCACTGACATAGCGCCAACGATGAGGATCGATTTGTTCGAATGATAATTCAACAGAATACATTTTTTCTGGTTCTAAACCTCGTATACTTATTGATACAATGGGAAACATTCGACGACCAGCTTTAGTCACTCTGAAGACAAAAAAAAAGACGGAAGTTTTGTGCTTAGAAAACAAAAAATGATTAAAGAAAATAACTTACATCATTTCATTTGTTAAGTCATGAAATCGTTTCCATAAATCTCTATTCTGTAAACATATGCTAATATTTTCTCCGTTATATTCTGGTTTCATCAGATATTGAATTTGTGGATGTTGGTACTATAATCGAGTATGTGCGAAATTTAACAAAGAAAGGAAAAAATTAATTTTACCTTTCCATGTTGATGAGCGAGATGTTGCTGTGGCTGTTGCATTGAAGAAATATATTCTATCTTCAAGTCACACAAAAGTGAGAGATTCGAATTCTGACTTCCGACAAATATATGCGATATTTTTTCAACTCGTTCTCTTTTTCGTTTTCATTCAACCAATAGGATATTCAGTTTTTTCTCTCTCTCTCTCTCTCTTCCGAAAAGAGAAAAAACAACTGAGAACCAATCAGCTTTTATCTACACGAATATCACTGATTTGAATAAAAAGTTAAACAGCACAGACTAAGATATTCTACTGTGGAAAAAAAATCGTTTCTGATACAGCTACAGATTTAGAAAAAAAATCTTTCAACTCAACAGGTATTTTCGTTTGGAAGACTTAACAAATTAGAGTTTGAATAAACTACAATGAATGATTTTTCGTAAGCAAGTTTATTGGAAGGATGAGATCCTACTCTTCTTTTGCCAATAGAGATATTTATAATTTCCATTCATCGTATTCTGTAAAAAGAACTTCATTGTTTCGTTAATTAGAATAGATTGTTTGTAAAAAGAAAACAACAGGAACAGCTTCTCCAATTATTTTCTCAGTCAATGTCATAGCATCTTCTTCGACACTTATCAATTATCATAATTCTTCTAACAAACAAGACGAGACGATATATGAATGCAATTACACACATCTTTCACTTGCATAGCAGTCGATATTGTTATTCGTCATACAGACTAATTAATCAAATTTCGATGGATATATATGTTTATTTTATTTTATGACCCGAAATTCAAAGGTAGTAAAAAAGCAAATCAAGCTGAGATTTTACGTCTCTCATACATATGTCAATTGATCTACTGTTTCGTGAGCCTATCATCACGAAAAACATTTCAATTAGAATATGATATATACTCTCACTTTGATGCTCTCTTACTAAGAAATAAAGGTGTTATAACGCCCAACGTACAGATCGAATTCAAGCATCATCTTCTATATCTTTTTTATTTTATAACAGGGAATGGTTAAATCAACATAGAATCGAAGTTGTAAATCGATTATTTGCTACCAGTACATGTCGTTAACCTTTCTTACAAGTTCTAATATTTGTTTTTTTTCTCTTTCGTGTATATATATATATATATATGTATATATACCAGCATTGAAAGATGACACATATACCACACTTGACTTGAAAAGGTGAAAGATGAAACTTTCCTCTTGTTGCCCATTTTTTAACTTCAAAGAATACGTGGCATGAAGTCACTTATCAGAAGATGAAAAAGCGAAGAAAAGTTTTTATTTTATTTTTTTCTCCTGTAGATTTAAAGAATGTAGACAACATCCGGATTAAAAATCCGGAAAGTCAAGTGATTAAAAACGATTGATATAGATGACGAAATGTTTATTGATTTTTCTTTTCTTTCACTTAATGACGTTAAATAAATAGACGTAAGCTTCTACTGTATAAAAGAGGATCAGCAAATTATGATGAACTTTCTCAAATCATGATACTATTGTCAATATAATTGCAAACATTCTTATAAGCTCAACAAGCTACTGAAATATTTCACACACTTTTTTCAAGCGTCAATACGACAAACCGTACCGAATAAGAACTTTCTGCTATGGAAGAATAAATAATTGAATAGTATACCGGCAAGTTTCGTTGCTTGTTTTTAAATAATAGTTCACTTGAGCTATAAATAACTTTTTCTTAGTTTCTGAATTAGTACTGGACTCGGCGAATGTCCTGATTGGTGATGACAATTATGCTAAAATCATACATCATGAATTGAAATACAAAGCGCACTCTTGTATGAAGAATTTCAGGTAGATAGTCTTATGTGTATCGATAAAATGCAGATTCTTTATTTATTTATTTATTTGCGTGTCGTTCAATAGAAATAACAAGAAAAATCTTTTTAAAAAAATCACATAAGATGCTGATAGTTGTTCTCCATGGTACTTTGCAATTGAAATGTTGACCAATTAGCCATTGCTGCTGTATGATGATGTTGAAATGTTGTCGACGAATTTGCATAATCAAACATATTCGGCGTTGGTTGATCTAGTACCAACAGCGGAGGTGCTAAATAACACATTATATACCATAAAGAAACGAAAAAGAAAACAAAGTAGAAAACGAACAACTTACAATTCGATGACATTAAAGAATGATTGTGATGATGGTAGTATGGACGTGGACGGTGAGTATGAATGGACGGACGATGCCGTTGAACTTGTGACGATGATGATGTAGCCGAATCATCAGTAGGAAATGGCAACATATCTGTGAAAATAAAAATATATAGACGCTTTTTTGTTTTGTTTTCAAGGAGATGGAAGATCAAAGATATATACGTATATTTAAGAAAGGTGTTATCGGAAAAAATAATCAACTGTTTTAACTTACAATAAGGAATAGATGAGAAATGTTGAGTTCCATAATCTGTTTCACTTGTTTGTCCATCATGTTCAGTTCTAGAGAAAAACAAATTCAATCAAAATAAAACATTCTTCTGAATGTTTCTTACCGGTCTCTTGGTTCTTGAAAAGCTTTTGCAAATGGGTTATGACGAATTTTCAATGCAGTTATCTAAAAAGATTTCGAAATTAATAATAGTAATGAATTGCCTTTTTCGTCTGTATAAATTTTTTACTTCTTCATTTTGATAGGCCGTCACAGCAATAAATGATGTTAATGGAAATGTAAAAGTTTCTAGTAAAATATTTGGTTGTCCATTTGACAAGGATTGTAAAATATGTATTCGTGGTTTATATTTATGTAAAGAATTAAGAATAATCTATTAATAGAAAACAAGATGAAATACTACAATGCTTTAGTTTCCATGTATTTACATGATCATCTTTAGTTGGATTGGGACGATTTGTTAATTTAACATTTTTAAATTCAATGATATCCGACATCCAAAATCGACCATAGTTAGGTGACTTCGGATGCGAATAGGGTTCACCTTTGATCGTTACACCATAACGACGATCTTGATTGAGACTTGTATGATCTTGTTTACCATTGGTTTGCCATTGTCTACTAACATATCTCCAACGATAATTATCACATGGAATAAAATCAAGTTTAAAATCATATAAAGTTTCAGGATCTAAACCACGCACACCGACACGAAGTACAGGGAACATTCTTCGGCCACCTTTTGTTAAACTTAAATTTAGAAGAAACAACAAAATAGAAAAATGTCCCATTATAATAATTTAGTGTTTCTTTCTTTCTTACATCATTTCTGTACTTAAAGATTCGAAACATGACCATAATTCAGTATCTTGCAATTCTAAATGTACAGATGATTCTGTACGTGGATAAACTGCGAAATGTAGAAAAATAGATAATTAAAGAAAGTAATCGTAACGAGCGACAAAATAGAATATACACCTGTTTGAAGCATATTTTTGTCTCTCTTTTGTAATATATGTAATAGCAGTAGATCACGCCCAAGTGTGGAAAATGGAATGAACTTGTGAGATGAAAAAAAGGCAAGAAATTTGAAGAGAAAGAAAAGCTAGAAAAAAAAACGAACCCATCAACCAATCAGAATGTAACGTGGCTGACGAATGCGAAAATGAAATGCAAGACGGCCAAACAAGCGTTTGATGTTTTTCGATTGACAAAACGAACATAAATTTCAGTATATTTGATCAAGCGAAAAACGCAGTGGTACTGCTTTTCTAATTTTAACTTCGCCACTAATTCACTATCGGGAAATACACAGAAATTCTTTTGTTAAAATATCCATTTGTGTTAGTATGCTTTGCTGTAGTTCGATTTTGAAAATGATCTATACTGAAAGTTAACATTTATCACAGTCGATTTATTTCTTGTATATTTCTATAGAAAAAGACATACTGATGCACTTGTGTTTCAAGGAAATATTCATCACATTTGTTTTCTTTTCATTGCTTAATGGATTGTAAAATAATTAATAAGACGCAAAATTATATGGCTTATATGTTTTTCTTTTGATTTTCACAGATATCTATCCTATGAGAAAATTCAAACGAAAAATATCTCAGCAGCTATATGAGAATCATACAGTGAATGATAATTTCTGTCACTGAATTTATGACTACTAGATGAAGTACTGTAAGTGGAAAATATGTTTCTCAAGGTTTTTTCTTCAAAAAAGAAACAATGTCTTCTAAGAAATGTGAAGAATACGAAAATCTAACATTAGTTTCTTTTGAAAATTTTATCTAATGTTTTGTTGACATTTGAAATTCATCAAAAATTGTGCATCGACTATAGATGATTTTTTTCATATAATAAATCAACTTAGGTTTAATTCCAATTTATAGTATTGCAACTCTGCTCGAGCCAAACGTAAAATATTCAGGCATTGATTCGTAAAATTTTATCATTGGAAAAGTAAAAACACAAATGTATTTCTATTGGTACTTTATTCTTTCAACGAATTCTATAATGAATTAGAAATTCGGATTCTATACATAGAGTACATTTTAATAGAGCCGATAAAACTTAGAAGAATCAGAGATTTTTGACGCATGATATCTAGGAAAGAATTTCGAGGAAGATATTTTCTTCTCAATATTTAGTTCTCGATCAACAAAAGAAACATAAAAATTGCTGAAAAAAGGATTCAAACTATCTGCTGATCTTAATGAGAATGTAGAAATCGAATCATTTATTTTCATGCCAAAATATAACAATTTTTATTTAAAAGCATTTTTGACTTTGCTTTCAATAAAAATAAAACAGTCTAATGAAAATTAATTATAAGGTAAAATATATCATAGCTTCGATGAAACATAACGAATAGTTTTCTCAATTTGTACAATATCAGGATGTGTTGCAGAAATTGATTGACGATAGACTGTCGCTGCTTTTTTCAAATAAACTAATGCTTGTTGATATTGATTTTTCGCTTGACATACGAGACCCATATTTCGGAGTACCATTGGAACATCCGGATAATGAGAAAGAAAAGATTTTTCAAAGGCTTCAAGTGATAGATTATAATGTTCTAATGCTAGATCATAGTTTCTAAGACGACAATGTACATTGCCAATACATGCATGCAACTGACCTAAACTACGATTTTCAACAGGAAGATGTTTCTGACGAATATTCCATGATTTATGATAAAACTCTAATGCATCAGAATATTTGCCTTCTTCATGATAGATAATACCCATATTATTATAACACATGGCAACATCTGGATGATCTTCACCAAGTGTTTTCTTCCAGATTTCTAATGCTTTTCTATATGATTCTAATGCAAGTGCATAATCACCTTTTCTTGAATAGACAACAGCAATACTATTATAGCTCGTTGCAATATTTGGATTGTCTTCTTTCGACGTTTGCAAGTCGTTTTCAATTGATTTCTTGTACCATTTTAGGCTTGCATCATAATCACCTTTCTTTTGAGTTACTTCACCTAATGCATGATAACATCGATCCCTGTCATTATGATCTTTAGGTAATTGATTAATTACAAAACGATAGTATTTTTCTGCATCATCCAATTTATTCATATGTTCAAGAATAAAACCCAGCGAAATTAGATCTGTATCTAAAATATCGAATTCGTTCTTTTTTTGTTGAATAAATGATTGTAATGGATGATCATTATTGGCACATAGATTTAATTGAATATGCCAAATACCGTTGATATCACGATCTATTCGAACAAGTCGAAATATTGAACCGATCATAAATAAAACTTCTTCTTTATTTCGGTAGTAACTGAACGAGGTGATATTACTAAAAGCTCTGAGATTGTCGGACTGTGGATTGGCATTGATTTCAAATAATACTTTTTCGATTTGATATGACGATGTGAATGACAAGAGAGAAGATCGAGTTTGTTCATAATCAGAACTAGCTAAAAGAAATGAATTCATCGAAATAAATTCTCCCGAAAATTTAGTCAATAGTTCCAAATCTTCTTTACATATGAATTGACCTCGATAAGCGCGAATGGCAGATGCGGCTTTGTTCTTTATTAATTGCTGTCGAATGTCACGAATAAAAAAACGAAATAGTAACAATAAGTCGATGTTTTCTATTCGAAATGCTTTATTCATGAGTCGATAGAGAAACGAATGTCTAGTATACCACCATAATGATCGTTCAGGCAAATAATCTTTTTCAAATTCTTCTAGAATATTTAATTCATCAGAATTATTTTTATATTGTCGTTTGCATAGTGCAACAAGTTCATTTTTATCGTTAGACACTGGCGTTGTACCAATTAAACAATCGATTAACATTTGTGAATAGATAAAATCGTCATTCAATGAAGTAGTTAGAAATTTTTCGTCGGTTTTTTTCGAATTAAAAAATTTCATTGTCAACGTTTCATCGAGATTATAAAATTGTCGTCGATTATAATCTTTGCGGATACATTGAGCAAGTTCATTTCGTTGTACAATCACTTCTTTTACCTAAAACAAAAATTCAAAACTATAGTGAATGAGTTTTTATGAAGCAAAAAAGATTTTGCTTAACTAACCTTATTAGAACTTTTCGTCCATTGTTCATTGGCATTTTTATCGTTTGAATGAATATAAATAGAAATAATTTGTTGTAGATGTACAATTTGTGGAATAAAATGTTGGCTTAGTTTTCTTTTAGCAATTAAAATAACTTGATCATATTTAGATACAGAATCAATGTATTGAAGACATTGTTGTTCATCTTGGAATACTAATAGATAATTGATAATAGATCGAAGTTCTTGTCGAATTTCATTTTTTATAGAATCGTCAAAACAAATAATATAGAATGATTCGAGATTTTCATTTTCTTCAATCGTATTATTCGTTCGAACTGTTGTACTCATTGTTTTTTTCTTACAATACCATATTTACTTATAGAAAGAGTTCAAAATATTTCACTTTTCTATTGTTGTTTTGTTCTGCTGGATAAGTTTTTTGGTCAGAGTGCAAACAAAAACAAGACAGAGAAATGTTTCATTCGTTTTTTGGGCATAACATTATTTTTTATTGCCTACCTTTACAGAACGCCGCCGTAGAATAAGAATGAGAGACAAATATTCACTCAAAATGTTTTTCTTTTACTTGGTTAAGAAAGAAATGGGAGAAAAAAAAAGAGTATTTACATGTGTTAATGCGAAAATCGCTTTGTTTCATGTATTAGTAAGACTTAAAATAAAAATAATCTGATCTTTTCCCCATTGTATTTCATAGAAAATCTTATTATCTCTTTTGTCTAAGATTTACTCAATTGAATCTTATTTTAAGTTCAAAAGGAACTGCATATTAATCAAATTTTGGTTCGGTTTTGAAAGATAAATGCAATCAGCCTTAAGATATATGAGTTCTTTTGACAACGGTGGATACACATATAGATACTGCGTAAATTTCAAAAGAAAAAAAAACAGAGTTTGAACCGAAATGTTACTCACATATTGATAGTTACTCATAAGAGATCTTTTGCGATTGAATATCAAGGTAAATATCGTTATCTTTTGCAAGCAAAAAAAAGGTAATAATAATTATTCATAGTTTTTACAAATACTCAAAAGGTAACCCTAGTTGCCTTGATATTTAATTGTCACAGATCTTTTATTAGTAAAACTTAAAGCGTACACATTCTGATGAGTTGCTGATCATTCCAACAGTTTTAACGGATAAACTTAATATTTGAATAATATTATTGATTTCATTTATCTTACTGATTCATCCATAGTGCTGTTTAGAATTCATCGGAAACTACAGGATTGAAATTAGGAGCAATAGTATTACTGTTGAATATAAATGGTTCAATGACTTACATCTTCTGGCGTTGAGGCTCCTGTGTGGGCGCAGTAAATAATGAGATTCGTCTTTCTGTCAGAAACGGTTTGTAAGGCCAAGCCTGCACAATGTGCTAGTCTATTGGAACTTAGTGTTATCGTATTGTCATTTCTGACTTAGCATCGAAGGCATCCCATAATAACTGTACATGAGATGTCAATACGATTTCTTGAAGAAAAATGTTGAAATCTTGCACCTTTCGAAAGTCTTTCTACGTAGAACGCCTGACCAAGCATACAAAAACTGTATGCTTAGCCGTTTTTCGACTCGTCATTTAAAAAAAAAACTCGACGCCCATATGAAGAAGATGAAGCGGTCGGTGAACCTTTTCTTCTAAAAGATTCTCACATACTTTTGCTTTTCTATGTTCTATATTTTTCGTACAGTATATCTGCAGAAATTTAAAATTTTAATGATAAATCATTCATCAAACTTAAAAATCTTTTTCGCTTCTAAAAATTATTTTCATCAGAATCTTGGTAATTTTTATTATCAATAATATGACAAAAAATGGAGAGATCTCGTGTGTTAATATTGTATGCTAAGAATTTCATTCAGTTGAAACTTTGCAACAAGAAGGGCATTCGTTTTATTGTTAGTTTCATTTTTTGTTTATTTCTTCTTATTCATTTATTTTTTTCTTCTTGCTGTTTCTGTTTTTTTTTTCACGGTAAAAAATAACAACAAGGTTCAACAGATTTATAGATGATGTTCAAAAAACAAAGAACAAAAACGGAAACTAAACGAGTGATACTCGTCGATTGTTTACGATTATTTTTTTGTTACGGTTGTTTTTGTTTTAGTTGTTGTGGTCTTTTTAACATCGGCAGCCTTTTTTGCTTTGCCTAAATTAACACCTGCTAATCGTTTTGCTTTTATTGATGCATGTGTGCGTGTTTTACGAGCGGCAGCCTAAACAAAAGAAATTTAACAAAACTAGAAAACAATAAACTAAAGTATTTACCTTTGTTGCAGCTGTTGTACCTGTTCGTCGTCCTTTAAGTTGTGTTAAGAGTGTTTGACGTTTTTGTACAGATGCATATGGATTTAGTTTGGACATCAAACTAATATTCTTCAATGGGTTCTTCTTTATCTTACGGTGTGCTTGACGTTTACTAGAAGAATTCAATTAAATACTAGTTAGAAAAAGAACAAGTAAAGCTTCACATACATTGGTGCACGAAGTACACTTTGAATTTCGAATGCTTTGAGTAATCGTCCCAAGTCACTATTGGTCATCATTGGTTGTGGAAGACTAAAAATACAAAATACAAAAAAACAACATGTTGAAGAAGTATATTTGATGAATAATATGTAAAAAAAACAAATTTGAAAATTCAACCAAGTGTCTTCTTCTCTTTTTATGGCATTTCCTTTTATCGGCCAGTAGTATTGTATGAACCAACAACCGTAGATCGAAATGCAAAAAACAATCATATTTTTCTTTTGTCTTATTCAGAAAGAATTTAGATGACAATGCTACCGAGAGAAAAACAAGTTCTCTAATATATTAATCAACTTACTTAAAGTCAACCTTGAGTTGAGATTTTTTACTCCATGTACCATAGAGAGCATCTAGTTTCTTGAATGCTGATTCAGTCCACATAACAAATCGGCCAACATGGCCACCCGGTGCCATACGAAGTAAATTAAGACGTTCAACACTCAACAGTGATACACCTGAAATATATAATAAATCTCATATTCTATTCTAAGAAAGAATTTTTATAGATAAATAAGACTCGACAAACTATCGGCTGCCCATTTTTCCAATTGAGTGTGATTGAAAAAATTTTATAATTCATTTTTGTTTGTTCAAAATGAAGAAGAAATATTTCATGAATAAAGAAATAATTCCGAAGACGTGAACATTTGTTTTTAATTTTCCTCTCAGTTTTTGGAGATACATTTCATTGAAAAGACGTATGTACTCCCAAGATAAGAGGACCGAACAGTCAAATTAGCAATAGACGCACTTACCGGGTATGTTACGAAAAGCTTTTTTAAGACCATTATCTTTATCATAGACAATAACTGGACCACGTTTCATAACTGTTCGACGGTTACGCATTTTACCTTTACCAGCACGGGTATGTTTTGATGCATAAACTTTAAGAATATCGGCCCAAGCACCGACTTTACGAAGAACAGCAACTGCTTCTTTGGTCTTTTTTACGTCTTGTATTTTATCGGATAAAACCAATGGAATTTCAGGTACAGTTTCAATGCTATGACCTAAGCAATGAGAAAATAACATTATTTCTGACGGAAAATTAATAGAAATAATTGAATAAACCTTTAGCTAAAACAAGGGATGGAACACCGGAAGCAGCAATAGCGCTAACAAGTGCATAACGTCGTTGTTTTAAATTGATTTTTCTATGCCATTTACGCCAAACTTTTAATGGGGCGTACATTCGACCACCACGACACATATTACCGAAAGCACCTTGACCAGATCGATGAGTACCACCACCACGAACACGTGGAATACGAGCTACGGCACGGCCAGTACCCCATGATTGAGCTGAAGTTTGTTCACCTGATTAAAAACAAACAAATAAACAGAAGTAAATAAAGAAAATCATTCTTCATTTCGAACAAACCAGCTTTATCGCTAACAGCATGTGCTTGTCGTTTGTTACGTCTCATTTGATCATGTACAAAGTTGACAATATCAGTACGAATTGGAGCACGAAAAACGGCAGGTAATACAACTGATTTGCCTGTTGATTGACCTTTTTCATCGTAAACAGTAACAAGAGGTCGCGAGGCGGCCTAAATAGATATTAAAATCAAAAATTAGCATTGACAAAATAGATAAATTAACACGTACCATTTCCACTAAGTATTCTTTATTTTAGGTTGAATTCAAAAGCAAATGGATACAGGCGAATATTATCGACCCCCACAGAAAACAATGGACTTTTCTTGATAAATATTGGAACGATTGTTTGTAATTATGAATTTGAAAATTATTAAAAGATATACTCGAATTTTCATTCAAAACAATAACTTTAGCGAAATTTTTATTATATTAAAGATTTTATTTAAGTGCATTGACGTTTTAAATCTAGAGGTTAAGCTTAAGATGTCAGTAGTTCTTTGAAGTAACCAATTGAAAGTTAACATATAACTAAACAGGAATTGTTGTCTTGTGGAGCACATTGTGTGTATTGATAACAATGTATCAAATGCTACTCTGATCGAAAACTCTTGATTGTTATCGTCAAATGTGATTGAAAGATTTTTTTTGTCAGATATGTCTTTTCAATTTGACGCTAATAGTAATGAAACGTAAGTTTATAAAACGTTGTTGTAGTTTTGCACATGTATAATTTTTCTTGTCATGCTAATTATTTGACCCGGGAAAAGTTTCAGAATTGAGTAAAGACCTTTTGTAGAGAGCCCTCCGAAGATATATTTAGCAAGCCTCTAGTCGGTTATGAGTAGCTTGAATGTTTTTTTTGGCTATTCACTCTTTGTTGATTGCCACCGTGAAGTTAATGCTTAGATTTTGGCTTGACATTTTATACAGAGACAGATACTCATTGAAATAGTTTTTTTTGTGGAATATAGAAATAACCAAACAATTTGAAAACTCTCAAATCTCTGTTTTAACGATCTATATAGTCTTGACTCGAATTGTCTCTTCAGTTAATAAATGTCATTTTCAATTTTCGAAAAGAAGCATTCACCTAAATTGATAAAAAAAAGTATCTAAGACTAGCATTGAATCTGACATATACTCACCTCAACAATATTTAACCTATTCTTTTATTTAATACTAGAACGTGTATGTTAGGATTTTGAAAAAATTGATTTATTTTTCTTTCTAGTCTGCTATCGACCTCTACCTCTTTTCTGTTTGATTCATCATCGTTTTGGTTGCTATTTCGTATTAAATTACTCATCTTGATACCATGTGTACTTGCATGCATCATATTGTTTCTTTTAATATTTTATTTACTGAAATATTTCATTGATTATTGTCGAAAATCACGTCAGAAACTAATTATTAATCATCGTCGAAACACAAATGATAAATGATGCTTCCTTTGTTAATTTTTTTTTGTTTTGCATTTTTATCCGGTGAGATTCTCATTTTCTGTATATGTTTATAAATAGAACTACACGGACTTTACCATCGTCAGGCATTCTTTTGTTTCGTATTGTTTTAAATAAAATCGAACAAAAACGAAATTTTTTATTTTCTTTGTAGTCAAAAGTATAGAATGACTTCAGTATATTTCTAAAAGAATGCAAAAATAAACCAAATTTTCGTCACCACCCATGGAATTATTCTTAAAGAGCATTCGCTCAAATTTCTTATTTTCATTTGTAGTTATACGGTGCTGTATTTCATAATTATTCTTATCAACGGCATGAAAGTCTCCATCGAATGAGTTACAACATTTAAAATGTTAATCAGAGCGAATCAAAACTCGTCAGTTGTTAGGTTTGAGGCGAGTGCAAAATAAATTTGTATGCTCTCGTTTTTGTTCTTTGCTTTTAGTGCCGGATGTCTTCTACGGATAGTCCCAATAGGATGAGATCCGTATCTGTACAGAATTTTTCTTGATTACTAGAGACACCATCGAAATTTCGAACATAGAACCAATCGTATAAGAATATTATGATTCATTTTAAAAACTATTGGTACCTCCGAGAGAGAAGATTTTCATTTTTCCTTGTCAATAAAATCTAAATAGATATGTTTTGCCTAAATAATTATTCTTTTACATACTTTAACTCGTATTGCACAATTAGTTTTAATCAACAAAGTCAAATATCAATCTCATCATTGGATTCTAGAAATAAAACCACTCTCTCACAATAGATAAGAAACTCTAGTAAAATATGTTTTAGATCAGCATCTCTACTTTGAATTGGTTGAAACTTGGTCTTATGGATTTTTGTCAACAATGACAATTTAAAATGGTGCGCATTATAACAATCAGCTGTTGTTTTTATTTATTGCCTTCGAATGCATTATATGATATTCAAAACAAACATTTCTATGTCTCCAGGGAAACATGTTTCAAATACATTTCATGATTGAAGCTATGGTTTTTACGTTTCTCTTATTTGTGTTTCTGTAAAAAGCTTCAACCTGGTACTTAATTTTTTGATTTGAATTAAGCATACTTGAGATTAGTTTTGGTTATTCTTTCTCTATATTATCATCGCATCATTATGCATTAAAAAAAAATTTTTTTTGATCAATAAATAAGACCCCAAACAGACCGAACGAGATAAAACTGAATTAACCAATGAGATGATTAAAAACGATAAAACATAAATAAGTCATCTGTAAAGATGAGAAGTTAATCAGGATTTTTTAATACTAACTATATTGTTTATCAACAAAATATTATTTCTAGAGGGCTTTTTTAAAAAATATATAATATTTATTACAAAAACCAAATCAGAGCACGAACAATTTATCCTAATGAGACGAAAAGTTATATCAAATCATTTTTAAAAAATGAATAAGTTGTTTTTCTGTGCAAAATACGACTGAAGTTGTATGAAGCAGTCGATATTTATTTTTGACGTCGAGGAATATCATGGCCGGCACTGTTCAAATAGACATGCCTCCCTGAAAAAATGTATATATATGAGACGCCACACATATTTCTTTTATTTGGTGAAGCGATATAATATATGATTGGCGCAAAAACGTTAAGTCATCTCGAAGTCATCTCTTCGAGACTGATCCAACAAATTCTAAGTTTGTGACGAATCTTTTTAAGATAATCTGTTATTAACTGGAGCACATACGATAGCGACGCCTGTCAATGCAGTAACATTTTCTGCGATGCACTTCGCATCCATGAAAGAGACTTGCCTTATACAGCGTTTCTAATAGAAATCTAAAACAAAGTATCAAACTGTATAGTATTTTCGCAAGCTAAGTGCAAAATGATACTTTGCTTTTTCAAACAAAGTATCATAAAGTATCCAAGGTATAGATTGCTCCGTTTAGATTGGAAAAAAAATGTTGATATATATTTGTTATTATTAAGTTCAAATATAAAATATACAAAGAATAGTATCTGATTAAATTACATAAAAAAACGGTTTATCTGCTATTTCATAGATAAGTTAGAAACAGAAATAAAACAACAAATTACGCCCTGTACTATTCACCGAAAAGAAAACAATTTTGTATCTACTCAACATATAACCCCTTCAACTTCATATTCTTCTTCACTATACATGTCTTTATAAATCACTATTGATAAAAAATTGAGGAGTTCGAAATTTCCATAGAATAGAATGAAAAGCAGAGTGTAAACTTTCCTGAGCACGTCTCCGCTTGATACTTTGTTTTTATGAGCAAAGTGTAAAACAGAGTATCAAATCGATAGAGCAAGTATCATGATACTTTGTAACAAAGGCTGATACCTGCTGTTAGAAACGCTGGTCTTATACTCTATTGGTGATTTAATGCTTTAGTGTGGACCGCTGTTGACTTAAAACAAAATAAAATTTTATGAATTTTTGGTCTGTTTGGGGTCTAAGCAAACTTATTGAAAAGCGCTTTAAAATTCTATTCTATTTTGAATTGATGTCGAGACCGGTAGAAATCATGAGCATATGCCTATATTTAGTTTACCGAAGACTTCATAGACAAAAGATGTGGTATTATTATTACAAAAATATGATATTTCTTGTTGAATCGAACTGACATCTATGAATATTCTTTGAGGTTCGTCTTGTCACATACCATACAGTTACGATTATCAATGAGGGCGTTGTAATGAAACGGACGCATTTTTTTACTTAGATTTTTGTAACTATATTTTGTTGAATCAAAACAAAAATGAATCGACGTTCATTAAGTGCTGAATCGTTAAGTCCATTGCAGGTACCTATTACTACGAACACTAATTTATCATTAAAATCGAAATCCTACGATCGATGGGCAGTAATCTGTTTAATAATTGCAACATTAAATATAATGCATGCTTTATGGGTATTAATTGCACCTGAACATTGGTATCACAATTTACCAGCTGGCGTTCCTGAATTTGGTCCAATCAATGTTCACTTTATACGTGATCTTGGTTGTGTATTTTTACTTCATGGCGTTGGGCTTGTTTTTGCTGCATTTAATGTGTCCTATCGTTTACCATTATTTACAATGAACACAGCATTTTATGTTTTACATATGTTCGTACATGTTCATGAAGTAGTTAGTGGACGAATACGTATGGGTATGTTCTGGGTCGATTTACCTGGTGTTTATTTTCCAGCAGTTATCTTTTTTATATTAAATATTTTCATGATAAAACACCATCAAAATCAAAGCAAAATACAATTTAATAGAAAATGAAAATTTCAATACTTTTGCCAACTAATCTCGCTATGACCAACTTTTTTGTTTTTAAAATAAATAAAAAAGTTGCTCAATAGATCCTGCTTTTCTTTTCTTCTTTGTAATAGATTGTCTTATTTGATTTTGATTATTGATAAAAAAAAGAAACTTTATCGCAATTAATTTCATTTTTTTCTAGTAGGTCAAACAGAAAAAACTATTTATTTCTTATCTATAATGTAAATATTAAATAATATTATTGTGGAAAAATTACTTCTCTTGCTGTTTTTATTATCAAAAAGTATTGTTTTTCGATTTTTATTTGCTACTTTCTGAAAATGACAACGTATTTCGATCGTTTACCAGTAGAATTACTTCACATGATCTTTCAATTCCTGTCCGATTGTGATGTTATATGGTCATTTTTTTATGTTAGTCCTTATTTAAATGCTGTTGTAAACAATTACAATTATCAAAAAATAAATTTTCAATCGATTTCGAAAACACGTTTTGATTTTGTTTGTAATCATTTGAATTTACCGAACATTATATCATTGACTCTATCCAATGATTCAGAAACACCCGGTCAAGTTGAACTGTTTTTCAATCGATTTAATCTTCAAGATTTCATTAGCCTTCGAGTTCTTACAATTATATCTGTAACTAATGAAGATATAAATCCTATACTATCTGATTTACCTAAACTTCCACATCTTACTTCCTTAATTACAGAATGTCGATCCGATCAACCTTTGTTACTTGGTCAAGTATTGAATCAATTGAAGTCTCTTCAACATCTTTCAGTCTCATATGGAGATATATTTGATCATAATGTTGCATTGCCATTACGTAATTTGAAAGAATTAAATGCTGGTATTTGTAATTTTTTGGAATTACGCCGTCTACAAATGATTGTACCGGCTCTTGTTTCACTTAAAATAAATCTTCAGGCAAATCATCAATTACAATTATTGTCTGATTCAGATATTTGGTCGTCGTTACAACGACTTGATCTTACTTTAAACCGTAAGAACTTCTTTTTATTTATTTAATAAGAAAGATTGCGGGTTGAATTTACAATTTCTCTAAATTATTGTTAGAATAAGTTAGAGAAATGTCAATGCTTATTATTAAAGTATGAAAACTACGATGATAAGATTTGATCCGGACGCCAAATAATAGACTTGAAAAAAATTTGCTCCTCGGAATAAATCGCCTAGCTGAATCTAATCTACTTGGAATACGTTGATAGTTGCTATAGTATCGAGAATATCAATTGCAAAGGATAGATCAAAAACATTCTAATAGGTTATAAAGCATGAAATACTGATATCTGTAAGTAGTACAAAGATTCGGAATCTCGTACGTGAGTTCTTTTTTTTGTAAGTTCTCTCGTTAAAATTCAACATTTCCTATGATCTCTAGACGAAACAACGATAACATTTACTGAAATTCAACCGCTTCTATATCGTTTTCATAAGTTAACACATTTAACATTAAATGTTCGAGGATCAGCAGAAAATCTAGCAAATGGATATCTTTGGGAAACTTCTTCTACAATAATCCGACTGCGCACTTTTCATTTTATCATTGAATTCGACCATCATCCATTAATCGATCAAAGTGAATTAGTTGATGAAATTTTTCGAAGCTTCTCTACACCATTTTGGCTGGACATTAAAAAATGGTATATATTCATTACAACACATGGTATTTATACAATATCTTGCTATGATGAACAAGCATTTATTCTTCCAACTTTTCCACCATTATCTACGTCACCTGATTATAAGTGGTTTTATTCGAAAACTAAACGAATAAAACTTGATAATAATATTTTATTAAAGAATCTAAATAAATTTTATAATCTTGAACGACTTGATCTCTCTGATGAACATCTGCTTTCATCTATTGATAATATCAATCAATTTATTCATCTTCGTCATTTAGTCATTCATAAAAATATTTCTAATAAAATTCTTGGTGATATGCTTTTACATAATCCACACATTAATCATCTTACAATCTCACAAAATAATTTTAATCAATTATTTCCATTTAAAACTATTCGTTATTTACATATTCAAAATACAATTAAAATAAAAAATCGAACACAAATCAAACAAATTTCTAAGATATTTCCGTCGATTCGGCGATTGTTTATACATGTGAGTTCAATGAGATTAATTTATCAAATCATTAATGGTTTTCAACATCTTGACAATGGTGTATTTGAATGTCAAGAGAAGATTCAATTCATGTTGCCAGAGTGGTTAAAGGGAAATACACGTCTAAAGCATAATACATGTTCATTTACATGGAGAAGGGAACAGAACAAATTTTTATTATGGATTAATGATTCGGTTAGTACGAAAATTTTTCTATGAATTCTTTATATATTTTGTTTTAATTGAAGATCGAACCAAGTGTGCCGTCTAACAATGACATAGAAGATAGTTCTAATGTTATTGAAGAACAGCGTTCAGATAAATGTTCATTGCAATGAAAATGCTTTATCCGTTTTTATTGACGATTGTAAATATTTACAGGAGATCGAATCGATGGATTTTGAAGGAATCTCTTTTATTTTTCACTATTTGATTTATTTTCATAAAATATAATCTGTCAAAGAGGAAAAATCAGTTGGTTGATCTTAAAGAAAATTCAATGGAGCTAATCCGATTAGATCAAAAAGCTTTTTTTGTCATGAGCCGATGAGTTTATCCAAGTGATGATGGAATTTATTTCACATGAATAAATAAGGTTTGATATGCTTGGCATTCTTTAGCAAACAGTAACGAAAAATTTGGAACCTATATTTTTTTTACAGAAATACCATCTTTCATGCATAAGACAAACGGAATATTTATGTATTTGACAGAATATTAAACACATTGAAACTGCTACGTCACATTAATTATGTTATCTTTATGCCGTTCTCATCGCTCTACTAGCTGTGTGTCAGATGTAACCTAGTTGTTTGGATTTGTAAGGAAAAAATTGTCAATCTCAATATATGCTTCAGACCCTCAGAGACACATACATTCACCCGCTCACATTCTTGTGATGAAACCGAACCGTTAGGAAATGTTTTGATAGAAAAATGATATCAAGGAACTCGAGAACACCATATAATATTTAACTTTTATAAATAGGCATCAAGCTTAATGATGTGTTGATAGCCTTCCCTGTCCATTGTAAACAGTAATATTGCCTAATTTTAGAACCAGTGTGCGACAGACCATTTGAACTATTAAACACCTACGAGACAGGAGACGCTCCATTTTCTGCTACTCTGCGATACTTTAGGAACGACAGAGAACTAGATGTGGTCGTGACCGACAAACAAAATATTATCCGTGGCGTCAACTGATTTCAATAATGATACCAAATCAGATCTAGCAGTGACTATCGCTGGCGTTAACGCCATCAGTATTCTACTTGGCAAAGGGAATGGTGTATTTTCAGAGTTTCATAAATTACACAGTCGGTGCGTATCCAAGCTCTGTGATATCAGTTGATTTTAATAAGGATTTGAGACTGGATTTGGCAGTAGCCAACTACGGTGAAAATACTGTCTCAGTGCTTCTGGGCAATGGAAAATGAATCTTTCAGACACCAGTGGCTTATACAGTTGGTGAATCGCCATATTCTCTGATATCAACTGATTTTGACAACGATAACAAATTGGATCTAGTCACAGCCAACTGGGAAGACAACACTGTTACTGTACTGCTTGGAAATGGAAATAGAAGTTTTCATATGTCGATCAATTAAGCTGTTGTCAAATCTCCAAGCTCTGTTGTATCAGTCGATTTCAACAATGATCATAATCTAGACTCAGCGATGGCCAACACAGATGACAGCACTATATGTATAGTGCTTGGTTTTGGGAATGGCAGCTTCCAAACTTAACTGCCATATTCTGTGATATCAACTGATTCTAACAATGATAGCAAATCTGATTTTATCGTAGCTAACTACGGTGACAATACAATCAGTATACTACTTGGTGATGGGAATGGAAACTTTCAGAGTTCAATGAACTATTCGCTTGGTAAAACTTCAGTATTTGTGATAGCAGCTGATTTCAACAATGATTCAAATATGGACCTAGCCGTAGCTGTCTGGTGTGCCAATGTCGTTAGTGTGCTGCTCGGCTACGGAAATGGTAATTTTCATACTGCAATTAACTACATGGTTGGTAGAGTCCCATCATCTGACTTTAATAATGACGAAAATTTGCATTTGAGAGTGACCAATGGTAGTGCAAACACGGTCAGTGTTCTACTTGGAGATGGAAATGGTATATTTCAAAGTCCAATGCAGTATTCAACTGGTAGGAAACCATATTATGTGATGGCAGCTGATTTTAACAATGATAAAAAAGCAGGATCTGGTAATTGCAAATTATTGGGACGATGCTGTGAGTGTGCTCCTTGGTAATGTAGATGAAATGTTTCAGAGCCAACAGACTTATAAAACGGGTTTGAATCCATCGTCTGTAATATCAGGTGATCTGAACAATGGTAACAAGTTGGATTTGATTTTAACAAATGCGGGATTAGGAGATTTATCAGTCTTTCTGAATGTCTGCAACTAAATAATCATCTCAAGTTTAATTAATTGACATATAAATAGACGGTAAATATTAAAATAAACCATAAACTGAAATACTGTTTTTAGCTTGTTTTTTTTCGGTTTTGAGATGTTACAAAACGTTAATGGATAAATAGATATGATCAAATGTATTTCGTTTTATTTTAGTTCTCTATACTAAAAGTAGGGTTATACGCCGAATTAACATGATTCGTTTGCTCTCACGTGATACCACGAGGTATACATTGTAATCAAACATTTCTATACGAGTCAGAAATTTAGATAATTGGTTTGCTTGTTGAAAAGATATAATCGAATTTTTCTTGGGCAAAAAATAATTTTTTGAAAATAATTTGTATCAAAACTTTTATATTTCTTGATTTCAACTAAAATTTACAAATTATTTACAGCAAATTCCAAAGTATTGGTGGTAGAAAGAACGTTCGGTAGTGTCTACACGCAATACATAGTACTTTTCTGAAATTTTAATATCTTTATGATTTACTTACAAAATTGTCAACTAATGAATTTTCCATAACAGCATAAACTGGATAAATGCCAAGAAAAACTATCATGCTCAACGTCCATCTACAGTAACCATCGTAAACTAGACAGTGATACCGAAATAAACAGAGGTTGCTTGGAAGTACTGAAGAATTATTAAACTAATAGCAAGTAGTGTAAAAGGGGGAGTTTTTAATTTTTCGAGATCATGACTACCTTCTGTCAACGAAGAAAACATAGCTGTGTTCTGATTTCCACCTTCGTACCAGTGACATTGAAAACAATTAAATGATTAGTTACCAACGCTTTGAAGTATAATTGACTTCTCACTACAACAATTGTTTGTTGATAAATATCATGCACAAAATATTCTGGAAATTGAGTTCGACAAACTTAAACAGATCATCTCTAATTCAAGTCAATCTAATAATTGTTATAAAAATGATAACCGAACAAAATGAATTATTAAAATTTTAACCAACAACTATTTCATCTTATTAAAATATAATTCTTTTTATAGCTATCGTTTTGTTTTTGATAGTTGCATATAAGATACCTTCGACTTATACAACTTTTCTGTTTTTATTATTATTAAATGAATTCTTTCAGTAAACAAAGTACAGGCATTTTTCTCTGTGCTGGTCATGTCCTATCGTTGAATTGAATTTTTCTTCATAAAATTTACAGATTGGATGAGAATGTGAAACTTTAAGGTGCCTCTAAAATAATAATTCATCAAATGTATTCACATATTGTAATTAAATTAAATATTATAGAGTATGCTCTTTTTGTTATACTTCCAAGGTACAATCGGACATTATCTTTAAAAGAAAACAAACTACTTTTTCAATATAAAAATAATTTGATACCACTGGTTTTGTTCAATTCATTGTACATATCATCAGAAGTGACGAACGAGTGAGTTAAACTGAGCACCTCATGATTCATTGATCTTTTCGTAGTGTAAAACAATTAAAAATGTCTTGTTCAATGTTTTCTCCGCAGTGATAATAAAAATAGTTAATTAATGAAAGAGGTTAGAAATTGATAGCAATGAAACAAATCAGTGTGCATACAATTTTCACCTAAAAATATTTTTAAGAGTTTCAAACTCATTCTTCTCTTAGCATTATAACTAATTATCAAAATAGATGAAAACATTGTTTTATTCAAAGAAAATTCTTTATTTTGATATTAATTTTAAGTTATTTTTCCATATGTGATCCTTTGTTTTACAATCGTGTTCTCTTCTTCTTCAATAATTCCTTTTGTTTAAAGATCTGTTGTTGATAATCATCAATATCAAAATTCTTGTATAAATATAAATGTATATTATTCGTTTATGATAGTTTCAGAAAATTTTCATTCGAAAAATGAAGTTGAGTAAAACAATGAATTATATACTGTCGATTTAAGATATAATATTAAATAAAAAAACTTATATTTTCATCGTATTTCTATGTACTTATAGTATANATTCAACGGAACTGATCGATTCCGACCGATTCCGACATACCCTGGTTCTCCTGGGCAATCACCAATAAACTGATTATACTATCAATCGTCAAATTGATCACATAATCAAGTATCAAACAGAAATTGTTATTGTTATTTTTCTTTTTCTTCCGTAGAATAACATATAAATATACGTTATTGTATTCGATGTAAGCCATTCAATTCAATTGGCGCGTAGATAAAAAGTAAGCATCTATTTTTAAAAAACATGTATTTACTGTTCAGGGGTGTTACATTACAATACACAAGGTTTAACAATGCATTACAATTACAATAATTATTATTATTATTGCTTTTTTTTCTTATAACAACTATTCTTAAAAAGCTGACACTAACCTATTCATTTTTCTCTTTTTAGAATGTATTCTCATCTATCAATGACAACCAACCAGTCCTGATATCAAAAATAAAAAATGTAGGTATAAAGCACAATAAATTAATTTCTTTTTGTTTCTAAAACTCTAGAAATGTTACAATGATATCAAATTACAATGCAATTATAACTTATTTTCTATTCTGTTTTAAATAAATTCAAATATAAAATAACTTACTTACAACTTCTTTTCATTTAGATTGTTCACAAAAACTATTTGACGAAATTAAAATTAAACTAAACTAAACTAAAATGAGATGATACGAGATGAGATGAGAATGAGCGATTGAGTTGAGTCGAAAAAAGAATTATTATTCCGGGCGGAATATTAAAAGTTAAAATTTACTTTTAACGCAAAAAAATACAAAACAAAAAAATAGGAAGGCCTTTTCATGTACACGAGGTCACTGTCGTCGTATTTGTACGTCATACCTTGTGTACATTGCCCTACCAGTCTGCTGTGGTCCACTCTATGTGTACCCGTTTCATGACCATGGGGGCTCTCCCTGGTCGCGCGCGCGCGCGACTATTAAATATTAATTAATAATTATTCAAACTGTTTTATTAAGCGAAGATACTAGAGAAAATAAACATTTACAACTTCTTTTTCACACGATCTATATCATTCATCACTTCTTTAATATAATGATGTGTTAGTGGAAGTGAATTTCGATAAATACTGAGTGCCTTTTCTAGATAGGAAAATGCTTTCGAGTATTCATCCATGTTGTTATACACTAGGCCTATGTTGTTGTAGGAAGTAGCCAAGTCGGGATGATTCGCAGGCAGAGATATTTCTTTTATTTTGAGTGATTTTTCGTAAAATTCAAGTGCTTTCGAGTATTCACCCATGTTTTTATACACTGCACCGATGTTATTGTAGGATTGAGCCAAATTGGGATGATTTGGAGGCAGAGATATTTCCCTTATTTTGAGTGATTTTTCGTAAAATTCAAGTGCTTTCGAGTATTCACCCATGTTATTATACACTAGACCGATGTTGTTGTAGGAAGTAGCCAATAAGGGATGATTCGCAGGCAGAGATATTTCCCAGATTTTATTTGATTTTTCGTAAGATTCAAGTGCTTTCGAGTATTCACCCATGCTGTCATACACTAGACCGATGTTGTTGTAGGAAGTAGCCAAAGCGGGATCAGTGGGAGACAGAGATTTTTCTTTTATTTTAATTGTTTTTTTGAAATACTCAAGTGCTTTCGAATATTCGCCCATGTTTTTATACACCAGACCGATGCTACCATAAGTAGCAGCCAATGAAGCATCATTTTCTGGAAGAGTTTTCCGCTTGATTTCGAGGTATTTTTCGTAGAATTTAGCTGCTTCTGGGTATTTGCCTTGCTGGTATTTCAATATTCCAAGCTGGTGATATATAAATGCTCTATCGCTATCAGTAGAGGCATTCACCAGTAATTCATTGTAGAGTTCTTCAGCTTGATCGAAATGACCCACTTTGAGCATCAATTTACCCATTCGATGCCATCCTCGACCGTCGATCTCCTGTTTGATGCGATTGGTAAGAGTAGAAAGTTGTGGATCATTCTCATCAGTAATAGTCAATTGTACTTCCCAAAGTCGATTATTCTTAGCCGTCTGTTTAATTTCAACGACGCGAAAAACAGTATGCATTGTGAATAGTATTTCTTGTTCTGATGGAATAGCACTGTGCTCATCAATCATAGCAAATGGAGTATTCGAAGTTGATATTTTACTTTGATCAATAGTCATAATAAAAATAGCGCCAACAATGTCTTCGTTCTTTTTCATAGTACGTTCAACAAATTCCATGCCCACTTTTCGTTCCATACTAGTCGATAAAAAGTTGTTGAACGATAGTAGACCACCTTTTGAACCTAGTAAATTCTGAAAGTCTTCTTCGCTCATTCCTTGACCACGATAAACGGTAAATGATTTCTTGAATTTAGCCGATTGTTTCTGATGCAATTGTTTCAGTTGAAGATTTAAACTTCGAATAAAAAAACCTAACTTGGACATCGCTTCCATATCAAGCGATCGTAACCCCCAATTAAGCATACCATAGAGAAACATTTCACATGTATACCACCATATTGGTGATTTCTGATGGTATTTACGCTTTAGTTCATTTATTTCTGTGTCAGGAATTTCTTTTTTTTTGCAATAAATTTCTAAAGCCTTAATAGATTTGGCATCATCATCATTGATTTCTAATATTATATCCTTGAAAATTACCGAGTACATATTAGCACACATTTTTAAATACTTCACGAAAATTCATACTAGCTTGTTTGAAAACAATTTAGAAATCGCCACCCCCCTCTCGAAAAGCCTGGATCCGCCGTTGATATATTGTCCATTTGTTGTAGATAATAATCGGTGTGAACCAAAAAAACATAGAATTTACATTCAAAATTTCAAAAACACTTTTCTACATTACGTTTCTTATGATAAGTCTATCAAGAAGAAGACGATGATATAATAACTATAAATACATATGGATGAATTTCGCTAGTATTGTACGGTTTGATAAAAAAAATCGGAAAAAATAAAAGTGCGAACAGCTGAATATATTGATATGTACAATTGGATAGAGCATATACTTTGTTGTGTATGAATCAAGTATTTTCCCCAGTAATTGTCTTTGATTTACACAAAAGAAATCGAAATCTCGAAGCATATGATAGGTTCTAATAGTTTTCTTGACAAATGAAAATTTTGAGTAAAATTGTTTAATATTATTATCGCATATCAATCAAATCATTTTGAAAAGTAGACTCCAGTAGATGTGAACATAACTATAGTTTTTGCATATTTGAATGCATATGCGACAGAAAAGTGAAATTGTTGTCATTAAAAACGTGCCCTTTTTTCAAAATGTCTGGTCCAAACTTTCGATTGCAAACGCTTTAGTTATACTTTTTGATGATATTTTTCACAATATGTAACATTATTGTTTTTCTTTTTTTTTCTTTGGCCTCATCTTGATAATGATCACTTATAAATCTGAAACAAAACGAAAAGATATATGAGTGAATCGTATTTTTGTTGGATGATTATATTTTTGAATTATTTCTCCTATAAATCCATTTCATACGGTCTGATTCTGAAAGTTTTTTTTGTTTGACTCCCTCATATGCACCACACTACCCCAGAAAATATAGGTTTCTTAAAAGAGTCACTGTACAAAAAATAGATTTTCTACCGGAAGAAAAAAAATATTCAGAAAAAGTAATACGACTGTTTAATTCAGCGTTTGACGAGATATTAAAATAC